CAACAAAAATCAAGTATTTGAGTGCCTATTAAAACAGTCCAGCTACAGTATTAGATACTACAAGGGCTCAGAGAGGTAGATGCATTAGGGCCCAATGCCCCCCAAAACCTCCCAGTCAAGCCAAGAACAAGAACAAGTGCTGAATCCTGCGCTTTAGATTCCGAGTGCCACAAAGGCATGGGGGTAGGGCAGTCGGGGAACACCCTCGGAGGAAGTCTATCTTCAGCAGGGGCTTGAAGGAAGTGAAATGGAGCATTTACACAGAGGAGAAGAAAAAGGAGGCCAGCACTTCAGAAGGGGAAACGGCAGGAGCAAAGCCCTAGAGAAGCGATTTTCAAGCATTTTCAGCTCATGGTACCCATACACTAATTCCTAACGTTCTGTGGCACACAAAAATATAAACTTTTTTGCCGACCTGACCCCCCCAACCCCCCACCCCCAAAACGTATCATTTTGATTCATTCACTCACACCGGACAGCTATTGTTGTGTTGGCTGTTGTCATTCTTTTTTAAATTGACAATCGAAGGGAAAAGAGGTCAGTGCCCCTGACTAAATAGTCAGATGTTAGATGTTTTAAAAATCCTTGGGGCACACTGGCTGAAACTCGCTCCCAAAGGAGACCGGCTGGGAGAGAGAGAAGCAGGGAATCGTTTCGGGTAGGTGAGGAGAGGCCAACCAAGGAGAGAGCCGTGAAAAGACAGGCTGGGCAATGGCTGGACACAATGTGGTATCAATGCCCTGGCCTGATCACCTGGCCCCTAAGTGCTCCCGTCCTCTCCTACAAGTTATCAGGAACCACCCTAGAACCACCCCGGTCTCCGGCCCTCACCACCGCCTAGACTAGTTTCCACTCTGGCCTAGTGTTCAAGTTCTTTCACGAACGAGCCCAATCGATCCTTCCTCTTATCCTCTTCCTATATGAACCCTTCTCTGCAAGGAGGCCGGTCTATCCACTAACTCCCTAAGATCACTGGACCTGATTCCTCTTTTCCTATCTCAGTCTTACTCACCCTTTAACAAACCCTACTACCTCTTTTAGGCCTTCCCTGACCACTTGGCCTATAATGACCCCCATCTCTCCTTCCTCTTGATTCTACAGCACGCAGCCTTGTCGAATAAATTACCTCTTTGCAGGTAAAGTCTCAGCACCCGGTGTAAAGCTGACTGCTCGGGGGCTAAATGTGTCTTCTACCACACTTTCCCCCACCACATGGAACAGCATCTTGACATTTAATAAGCAAGCAAACACTCAACTCTTTTTTTTTTTTTACTTCCTATATTAAGTTTGGCATTAGCATAAAGGAAGGATGGGGGAGGCGGGCACTTCTCAAGTCAGAGACCAGCTAAGAAGCTGTTGCAATAATCCAGATGTGAAGCAAAGAGGGCCCGAACCGGGGAACAAAGAGAAAACGGGCAAATATGAGCCACAACAAAAATGTTGCATGCAAAAACTCAGAGGGATGTGCTTGACCACTCCTAGGAACAAAAGCAAGGGATGGACTGTGCGTCAGGTAAGGTTTTGAAACGCTTCTTGGAATCATTTTAAAGCCCGTCTGAAACCTACCGTATGAAGTGGCCAAAAAGTCCCCATTTGCAAAAAGTCTTCAGTGAAACTGCCCAATATGCTGAACCAGGGACAGCCCTTCCAATTCCAGACATGCACGGGATGGCAGGGTCGGAAGGGTCTGCGGGGGGCTCATCTAAAACCCTCACTGCCCAGAGGGGGAAACTGAGGCCCGGCACGGAAGAGGCTTGCGGAAAGCCTCAAGACGGAGACTCCCAGACCAGTCGCCCTAAAGCACAGCCGCCAAGCCTAGAAGGAGCCTGTCTGCAGCCCCAGCCCAGCCCTCGGTAATGGCAGGGCCGGCTGAGGGCGAAGTGACCATGGAGACGTCTCGGGCCAAGCGCGACGTGCCGCCCGGGGAAAGGCGGAGGCTGGGGGCAAGAGCAGCGCCACCCCCGCGGCCCGGCCCGGTTACCCCAGGTTTCCATCTACCCGGCCGCCTCGTACAAAGGGGTAGCGCCCTCGAGGGCGAAGGGCCCGGAAGCGGGGGATCCCCGGACGCCCGGGCGGCGGCTGGAGAGCCCAGGGCAGCTGGCCGCGCGCGATCCCTCGGCCCCGGGACTCCGGGCGCGCACCGTGGGCCCCTCGGGGGCGCGCGCCAAGTCCTGCAAGTTGCCCGGGCTCCCGACCCCGCCCGGCCTCGGCTCGAGCCCGCGCCGCCTTCCCGCCCACCCGCCGGCTGACCGGGGCGGAGGATTCCGCCCCGGGGGCCCACGAAGCCGGTAGCGTCGGGAAAGTCCCCAGCCCAACCCGCTCTAACGAGTTTCGCCCGCCGCCCGCCGTACCGGGCGGGGGGCATAACATGCGGAGGGGCGGGGTTTCATTCGCCCGGCCGGGGGGGTTCCTTCGGACCACGGCGGCACCTGGGCCCAGGGCCTGGCCCC